AGCCATCCAGCTTTGTCATATAGATGTGTGAAGGCCCACATGTTAGAAGCTTACCCCAACAGCTGGTAGCTCTTGTTTTGAAGGTGGTTTTGGTCTTCATGTGAGGAAAGGTGAGGAAAGAACATTTCTTATACGGTTATACCCAGTGGTCGTTAGTGGTGGTTTGGTTGCCATGGTTTATACGCAGTGCCCAACCGCTTGGGTGGAGGTCAAGGTGAGGAAATAAATTTTTTTTTTAAAAATCTCACGTGAAAAGTCTGATGGGTTAGGATAGGATTTGAGATAGGGCTTGGTATTTATACCTCCTACTAAAAAATCTCACACAATCTCACACTTTAAAAAATCCTTTGAAATTAGCACGGTTTTGAATACCATAAGACTTTTTGTTACTTATTTAAAGTCTTAATTGAATACCGCTAGATTTCGACACCATCATTTAAAAATCCTAATAATCTTAATGGAATACCACAAGATTTGTTTAGATTATTTAAAAGTCTTAATTGAATACCACATGACTTATTCATCTTAAAATAATCTTTTAAAATCCCAATTGAATACACCCCCTAAAACTAATTTTCTGCTGAAGTAAAGTCCTTTTCAGGTATACAAGACCAGGTTTAATCTAACTCTCAAATGTTAGGTAAGATAGGAAAGGCACCAATAGATAATTCATGAAGAACCTAATTTTCCTCATAGGCTATTCGATTATGTTATTGTGACTAGTTTGCAAGTTAAGCAGCAACTACTAACTAAAGCAGGATTCATCAACTGTTCCCTTGCCTTCAAAGTAAACGCTTATCTGATGTGACAATGGGGTCTAACTCAGCTTGTATTTTTTTCATTTAAAAAAATGCTTATTTGATGCGTTATACTGTCCATGTCAACTCTCTGTCTAGGTCAATGGGTGTTCATTGTGATCCCCAACTTCCATGTCCAAAGAACACCACCATGCCAAACACCAAAAAACACAGAGCTTCTTCTCTTCTTGGGTCAATGGGTTTTCCTTGTGCTGCTGCCACCTTGCTTTGCCTCTGCTGCCTGTCACCAAGTGGATCATGAAGCTCTCTTGTGCTTTTCCTTGGCTTTCAAGGTATCATCGCCACCATTGAATTGGTCTGCTTCTGTTGACTGTTGCTCATGGGAAGGCATAAGTTGCCGCCAAGATGATGGTCATCAACGCGTTGTCGGTCTATGGCTTCCTGGAAGAGGCTTAACTGGTCTTCTCCCAAGTGACTTGTTTTCCTCCCTCTCTAATCTCCAGGTCCTTGACTTGAGCTCTAACAACTTCTCTGGCAACATCCCTGATCAGATTTCTAACCTCACCAACTTAGAGAAATTAAATATCTCTCACAACCATCTATCTGGTCAAATCCCTGGTTCTTTCCAGAGTTTGCATTTGCTCTCTTCTTTCAGTGTGCATACAATGATCTTCAGGGACCTGTACCATCCGGAGGCCAGTTTCTAAATTTTACCATCTCCAGCTTTGAAGGGAATCCAAGATTATGCGGCCCTCCAACTATGCATCTCTCTTGCCCTCATCCAGAATTACCAGCTCCTCAAAGATCTTACTGATACACCTTTTTAAGTATTGAGAACCTCTTGTTTGATTTTCTTATGGGGTTTGTGGCATTAATATTACAACATATTGGGAAGCGGTGCATATTTAGAGCAAAATTTAGTGGGGATTCAGAATAGGAACTCTGGGTTTTCTTGTACCAACATTCTGAAAACAAAATGTATTGTACCATAAACAAACAAAACTACACAAATACATACTCAGCTTATCTTACAAGATGAAATGTAGGCAATTTTCTTCAATATTATTGATAGCATTGACAAGTAGTTTTTCTTTTCCTTCAACGGTAACAATGAGAAACAACATGTCATCTCAGGATCAATGCGATCAACGGTTTATGATGATTGTAAGTATTCCATATGATCAGATAGTCATTACGACTCATTCTTTATGTGACAGTCATGATTTATGTGATTAATTTTCGAAGAAATGTGATAGGAAATGACTCCTTCTGTGTGTTATAGTCATTGTTTCTGTGACATAATATTTTATCTGTTAGTCTTTATGTGATAAACTTTTATTTTGTGATAGATTTTTGCTTATGTACACGCATTAATATTATGATCAATCTGTTCATGCAACGTCAGTTGGACACTTTCTCTCCTGGGTCAATCGGTGCTTAGTGTAATTCCATGTGCATGGAAGCTCAGACCAGACATACAAGGTCAAGTGGTGCCATTTGGGGTGTCACTTGATCATGATATATGTCTAAAATAACTAAGAATATATAACATAATAACTAGATTCTATATATTTATGGTTTACGGGCAGTCAACATAGTTACGTCGTAAACAACAGATAAACACATTGGAATAGGCAGTTGCTAGATGCACTAACCAACCTAGTTTATGGATTTAGTGGGATTCAGACGTCAGATAAATAGGAGGAATTTAGAACAAGTCTAAGCTCTCAAAGTAAGCGCTTATGTGATACATATAGATTGGTACGTACCAATGATTATGATTCCATCAGGGGCTGATTAACGCCATGAAAGAAAACAAAGAGACCACCAAGGACGAGAAGGAGGAGCTCACAGGAACACCGAGCCAAAGACCAAGAACACAGTTTCTTCTCTTTTGGGGGCAATTATTTCTTCTGATTCTGCTGCCCTGCTTTGGAGCCTCTGCCTGTAACAGAGTGGACAGTGAATCTCTCTTGTCATTGGATTTTAAAGTATCGCCGCCATTGAATTGGTCTGCTTCCTCTGACTGTTGCTCATGGGAAGGAATAAGTTGCCACCACCAAGATTATGATCATGATCAACATGTCATCAGGCTATGGCTGCCTAGGAGAGGCTTAACTGGTGTCATCCATCCATCTATCACAAGCCTCACCCATCTCACCCACCTCAATC